CTGGGCCAGTGGGCTCTAGAGCCGGCCTTTCCGGGAGCGCCGCCGGGCGCTGGGTTCTGCCTTCTCGGGTCCGAGGATCCGGATCGGGCAGCCCTGCCTTCCATAAACTCGCTCCTGGGGCCACTTCACCCCGGTCCTGCAAACTGTGCGAGTTTCGTGTGATTTCTCTTCCTGGACCTCCGGACACGGAAGACCAGAACCAAACCCAGGGGACCTCAGGGCCCAGCCAGGCTGGAGGGGAGGGCCTGGGCTCCCCGGGAGGTGAAATACCCGGACCCTGGTCCCCTGAGCCGCAGTTCCCTTGAGGTTCACAGCGTCTGTTCAGAAACGTTTGCTTTGGTTTTTCCTCCGACTTTCTCTTTTACCTGCTGCCATTGGAGTTCGCAGTCTCCAAGTGAACCTGAAGAATCGCGCAGTGGCTCGGTGAAAGCGACGGGAAGGTGGCATTTAGGAAGCAACGAAATCGCTCAGTAACTAGGGGCACCGCCCGGCCCCGGCCCCAGCTGCGCTCCTTCCCGGACAGGGCTCTGGAAGGGTCGGTCTTGTCGGTCCTATCCCCCTGGCATGCAGATCTCGCCTCCTTTCCGTGTGGGGCCATCTCTGTCTGCACAAGGCTTTGACACGCTCATCCCGCTCAGCGACCACCTTGGCTGTAAAAGGTGCTGTCACACATTAGGATCTAGCTAGCCTCACAGTCGAGATCTTAACCTCCTCCTGCTCGTCCTTGTGTGTGTGGAGGTGCTGAGTGGGAGACCAGTCGACAGGCTTGTCCTTAAACATGTTTGAAAACAGACCGATTTTAAGTGGACAGTGTCTGGGTGAGGGAACAAATATCAACTGGAATCTGCTGGAACGGGTTGCATCTCGACTGCCCTGTTCACTACTAAATGGGACTCTTCCCTCCACACGTCTGAAGCCCTCTTCACCCCTCTGCCTGTGCTGGGTGGACTTGGGTTTTTCCTGTTTTCTCAGAGGGATGCTTAACCTTGCACCATATATCTGTGCTCTGGGCGCTGACACAGGGAGCAGTCAGGCCTTTGCAATTTGTGTGCCCTTTACCCTAAGTGCCTGATTTTTTAAATATGTCTGCCCCCAGCTAACTCAGGGCAGACTCGGCTCACAACCTGCTTTCGGGTGTCTTCTGTTGCGCCGCTTTAGGACGGGTCACCCAGCAGCAACTCAGAGGACAGGGGACTTGGGACCAAGTGTTGCCCTGTGGAAGCTGCCCTCAGCGGGGTGTGTGCCCAGAAGGCTTCTGACCCCTTGCTGATTTCCCGTGGAGGGCACAGCTTGGGCACGGGTGCCAGCCTCCACGGACACCACAGGTCAGGGCTTGCCCCAGCTATGGAAACTTACACCTGTGTTCTTTCTCTCCCTGAGCAGAAGCTAGCCTATTACTCCAAAATGCAGGAAGCCCCCGAGTGCACCGCCAGCCCCAGCAGCAGCGGCAGCTCCTCCTTTTCTAGCCAAACTGCAGCCAGCATAAAAGAGGAGGAAGGCAGCTCAGAGAAAGAGCGCCCGCCGGAAGCCGAGTACATCAACTCCCGCTGCGTCCTCCTCACCTACTTCCAGGGGGACATCAGCTCCGTGGTGGATGAGCATTTCAGCCGGGCCCTAAGCCAGCCCAGCAGCTACTCCCCGAGCTGTGCCAGCAGCAAAGCAGCCCGAAGCACAGGGCCTTGGCGAGGTGAGGAGGGGCCCTGCTGGGCAGTGGTGCTGAGCCCTCCTCCTGCATCAACCCAGGGGACCTCAGACCCCAACTGGGAAGAAAGGCAGGAGGGTGGGTAGAGAAGCACACTGGGGGGCAAGGGCTTGGGTGTTGGGTCTGTCAGTGAGCAGGTCGGGACCTGGGAAAGACACCTGGCTGGTTTGCCTCTTGGCTCTACCCAGACGTCTAGGCTGTGACCTTGGGAAAGTCTCAGCCTTTGGGGGCCATTATTTACTGGTCTGTAAAATTAGAGTAATACCCGTGCTCCCATCCACCCAAAGGCAGAGAGATTCCAACGTCAAAATGTCAATGTGTGAAATGTAAATGAAGTGAGGTTTCTAACCCAGCCCTTGCCTGGGGCTCAGGATGCTCACGGAGAACAGTTTAAGAGCCACTTTCCCAATTTCTGAAAAGCACAGAAGCCCTGCAGGCAGCACCTGCCAGAGTTTGCTTCCAGCAACCAACCCATGCCTTTGCCAGGGTGCAGCAGAATCGCAGAGGCAGAGTCAAGAAAGAAAACCCTAGGGGCACCCAGAGCACAGGGTCGCACATCTGCCCCTCTTTATTCCCCTACCTCCCCGCGGAGTCCTGCTTCACCCTAGCCCAGGTCAGCTACAACTGACTCTCCTCCAAAATCTCAGCTTCCCTTTATTGCCAATAAAATACAGGTAGGGACGTCACGAAGAAACAAACTTGCTCCCCAGGCTGCATTTTTCACGTGTACCAAGTTGGGAAACGAGGACTTTGCTGTCTTTGCTGTAGCAGTTTTCCCAGTTTCTGTTTGTCGTTTCCGGGGAAATGACCGCACTCACAGCACTTACCCTTCCTTTTTTTTTTTTTTTTTTTTTTTTCTTTCGGGAGTCCGGCAGTTTGCACCAACTTTCCCCTAGATCAAGACCCAAAACTATGAGTGTTAAATACAGAACATCCTACTTCCTCTCCACCTGCCTGTGTTTCGTGGGAGACTGTTGCGGCAGCTGCGCCTCATGCCTGGCTCTTGGTCTGTGGCATGCGCAGGAGCCCGCAGAGCAGCGCTGTGACGGCCTCTGTCTGCCCTTCGCTCCCCAAAGTACTCCCGCGTACCAGGGATTAACAGTGATGCTGACTACAATAAGAGTTACTAGTATCCCTGGCGTCCTCGCTTTGATTGCCCATTAAAACTTAGGGTGCAAACAGTCCCGTCCCTTCCTCTCCCTCCCTGCAGACAACACCTGCTCCTTTCTTCTCGGGAGTCCTTCTTCCGCTTAAGTCCCCGGAGCAGCGTTTGGAGGAGGTTCCTAGGACAGCCCCGCTCGGCCCCGCTCGGCGTGGGCGTC